TCATCGCCTGCGCAACGTGCAGCCGCGCGGGGCAGAGTCGCGGCAGGAGCGTCAGAGGACGGGCGGGAAGGCGGGGAGGGAGGCGGGGCCCAGGAGCCCGCTCCTGGAGATCGCCCCTCCGCCACCGGGGGCGGCGGGATCCGAGGAGGCCCACCGGCCCTGGCCAGGCCCCATCCGGGGCCCATGCGATGACGCGACTTGCCGTGGAAATCTGGAGGCACATGCCTGGCCGATCTTCGAGGGCCTGGCGGTGCGCGACGGCAAAGCCCCTGGGGCCATCGGAGGATGATCCATTTCCGTGGAACACCTGCTGGCAGGCCGATGTCTTGCTTGACGTGCCCACTGCAAGCGCCCCAGTGGCCGAGCCATGAGGCCGCACACACAGACACAGACATACGACATACGCACTCACACACAACCACACATACAAGCACACACATACAAACACACACACACACGCACCTGCACGCCGACACACCTATTCGCACTTAACCACATGCACACGCACACGCACGCGCACGCGCACACACACATACACGCACGCACGCGCGCGCAGACACACGAACACGCACACACACACAAACACACACATACACACAAACGTACACACGCACACACGCGAACACAGACGCACACACGCACACGCACGCGTACACGCCAACGCACACGCACGCCCGTGCACGTGTACGCGCGCGCGCACACGCACACGCACGCGCACGTGCACGCGCACAGGCACGCGCGCGCACACGCACTACGCACACGCACTGCGCACGCGCACGGCGCACACGCACCCACGCACCCACGAACCCACGCACCCACGCACCCACGCACGCAGAGACGTCCAGCGACTCACATACGCACACGCAACGCACGCAGCATTCGCACACAACACACAAAACACACACAACACACACAACAGAGACCAGACACCACGCACCCACAGGCACACACACTGAGGCCGACACAGAGACACAAAGACACAGAGACACAGAGGCACAGGGACACAGGGAGACAGGGACACAGTGACGACGAGACACAGGGACACAGAGACGCAGAGACACAGAGACACAGACACACACGGATACACGGACACACGGGCGCACAGGCACAGAAACACAGAGGCACAGAGACACAGCGACACACAGACACAGAGACACCGAGACGCGCAGACACACGGAGACAGAGACACAGAGACACAGACACTCATACACGCAGGTACAAACACAGACATTGACACAGGCACAAGCACAGAGACAGACGCCGACACACACAGGCACACACACACACACGGACACAGAGACACACAGACTCACAGACCCAGACACAACCACACATAAACACACAGACACACACACACACACGCAGACACAGACACGCAGACACACAGACACACACGCAGACACACACACACAGACGCACATACACAGACACACACAGACACACAGACACACACACATAGACACACAGACACAGACACAGGCACAAACATACATACACACACTCACCGACACGCACTCACGCACACACGCACGCACGCACGCACGTACGCGCGCGCGCACACACGCGCGCGCACGTGCACGCGCGCACGCGCACGCTCGCATGCGCACACGTACTCGCACACGCGCGCGCGCCCATACTCACGCGCGCACGCACACAAAGACCACGCACAACACGCAATACGCAACGCACACCCACAGAAACAGACGCAGAGACAGACGCAGACACAGAGGCACACACAAACACACAACACACGCAAACACCACACACATATCGCACACGCACCCACCGAGACAAACACAGACACAGACGCAGACGCAGATACAGACACATATGCACATATACACATATACACATATACACAGAGACAAATAAACACAGGGACACAAAAACACAGAGATACAGAGACACGGAGACACGGAGGCACAGAGACACAGAGACACGGAGACCCGCGGAGACTCGGACACCCAGACGTACAGACACACAGACACGCAGACACACAGACAC